AGCCGAGATTAGGGGGTTTGTGGGCCCCCTCCCTGCACTTCCTCAAGAGCTTCCATGCATAGAGTTAAAGGACATCTACTGGTTGGTTTTTCTCTTCTTCTCTCAAAGATGCCTGGAAACATCTTGGGCAACTGGGTGAGTAGTTTTAAAGCTCTCCTTCTGGAGTGCTAAAGAGAGAAACTAACAATGTTGCTGCCACTCCCCCTCCTTCAGCAAGGACAACCCAGGAGACACAACTCAGGAGACAGGAATTTACTAGTTTTTGTTTTAGGAAGGAGGTCTTATGGAGGCCAAATCTCAATAAGTGCTGTTCAGATTATTCTAAAGAAACTTGTCATTCTTCTTGGCATGATCACTCTCTTGGAGCAGGAATTAGGAAAAGACACAGGCAATTCCTAGTTCTGGAAAATCCAAAGACCTGGATGACCTTCCTGGCTCTGAGATTTGCTGAGAGAAGTTGGGCAAGTCACTTGCCCCCTTTGAACATGTATAGTCAAAGAGACTATTGGCACTGCAGGATGCCTTTCCAACCTGGGTGCTTGTGGATTCTTATAAATGGGTCTCCAGAAAATTCAAGAGGCCAGGCTGGACAACGCCCTGTTACGTCCCTTTTCCTGAGCTCTGGAGGAATAGAAAACCACAGACTGGGGCTAGAAAATGAACTGGGAGGGAGTTGTGGTCTTCTCAAACACAGATTGCACTTCTTATGTGCCAGGAGCTTTACATATACTAAATTCTTATATACACTATACCCATATAGTTACATATATTGTATGGATATGTAGTATATACATATAATTATATGCATATGTAGTATATACATATAATTGCCTACATATATACATATATAGTGTATACATATAGTTGCCTATACTTAATATATATAGCATATATGCTATATACATCTAGTTACATATACTAACTTCCTATGTGCTCAGCACTTTACATAATGCTAACTCRTTATGTGCACAAAACAGTTCCATGAAGTAGGTACTATTATTACCCTCATGTTAGAGATGAGACTGGAGGATCAAGAGAGTCGATGACTTGCCCAATGTCACAAAATTAGTCAATGGCAGTTGAGATCTCAGCAAATCCGGTAATAGTTTGGGCTTGTTACACTGTGCTGCTTCTGGGATGGAAAGGTTCTATTTAGAATTAATGGAAAAATCATGCAGGTCTAATCCTGCTTTTGTTGATATTCTAAATTCAAGGCAGGAGTTGCATTTCTCTAAAGGATCAAGGCTACACTTTACAACAGGGTAAGTGGTAATTGTTGGACAGGTGCATGGCAGGTGACCTTGCAAAATGTGAGGTATGATGGGGCCCTTTCTTTGGGACACAGTTGGAACAGGAGGAAAATTTTTCTATTTTAGGTYGGCAATATCTTCCTTGATACCTGCCCCCAAAATGAATCCTATTTATGAAGAATCTTCTTTCTGAGCAGTAAGCCTGTGCTTAATTAACCTTATGCAAATCAGCTTAATTGCTTCTCAGTGGCTGTTGTCCAGAAGCACCTACGGATTCCTTCTCTCAGACATTTCCAGCACCTGGGTGAACCACCAAGTTGGAACCCTTTCTTGTGAACATTTGCCGGATGCCCGTGGAGCACTGGGTGTTGTGTTGGAGATCACAAAAAGTGCAAGGTGTGACCCCAGTTGTGGAGGTACTTACAGACCCACACAACCAAGGATCACAAAGAGAGGGAGTGCCTTGTTAGCCTCAAGAGCCAAGTGTCATGATAACACAGGTTACTCTGGAGTTGAGGGGTCTTCTAGGTGTATTTTCTTCCAGGTTACTTCCATTGGCAGAGGAAATGGATGTGGGAAGCACGACTTACTCAACTCTCTCAGGGAAGTGAAAAATAAAGCAACCTGATGCTGTCTCTACTTGCGGCTCCAACTTTGTTCAGTTTCTTGCCCTGGATCTTCTGGACAAGTGGGGATAGAGACCATATGTCAAGCCTCCGCTTGCAAGAGGACTGGGAATTCTGGAGAAAAAGCAGCGGGAGGTGGAGGGGCTTGTTTACTGGGTCCGGTACCTCCAGATCTCGTGCCAGAGTCAGATCTCCTGGAAGCACCGGTAGGGGCTAGGGGTGCCGAACCACATACCTGGAGACTGCATCTCGGAATACATTCTGTGGCTCACCGGCCCCTCTCAAGGCCCCCTCCCAGAGAGCCAGGGTACCGGAATCCCGGCCTTCAAGAGTTGACTGTAATGCCTAAAAACCGTCGCAAGGTGGCAACGTTGTGGCGAGAAATAGACTTAAAATCCTGGGTGGTTTTTTAAAGCATATTTTCCCTATTAATGTTTCATTTAACTTAATTAGAATCTGGTAAACTAATTAAAGTAGCTACGAGCCCCGCAATCAGCAATAATTCGTATAATTATTGATAATTACATCCATACCGATCGTTTGGTTATCAACATTTTTGGGGGGAACAAACCACTTTCAAAGGGATGCGGAGCCCAGGAGGGCTTTTGCAACTGAACTTTCTGGGTCGTATCCACCTACACCCCCAATCCACAGAGATTCCGGCCCAGATGGGGCGCCTCGACCGGTGGACTCCGGCTGCCTGCTTGCTCTTTTCCACTTTGGGGCAATTTGGAAGGGAAGGGTGGAAAAGAATATTTGCTAGGCTTCTCTGTAGGGGCACAGCCATGGAACTTCCTCCCTAGGTGGTAACTGTTATGCCCATTTTACAGAGAAGGAAAGTGCCCCGCCACAGGTGCATTTATGCTGTGGGGAAATGCGCGTGCCATCTCCAACACAGCGTGGCAGGGCTCCATCTCAGCTCCGCTCGCCCCTGGCAAGCCCTGGGGATGTAAGTCACTTCCTCTCTGGAGTTCGCTTCGCAGAGGGTGCAGTGGAGAACTGATCTGGTCAGCCCGCCAGTAGGAAAGGCTCCAACTTCCCSGAAGGTCCCAGCCTGGAGACCTCGAGGCAGTACCTCACAGTTGGCCAGGCGCCCCCAYCGCAATTCCTTCCCACACGTTCTCTCTTGAGTTTTGCCCTAGGAATATCCCCGAGCTCAAGGGGCTCTGGGACTGGCTTCCTTCCTCCACTGCGCGGCAGACTCCGGTGTGAGCCCCTTATGGGAATCCCGGGGCGCGCCAGCTCCAGCGCGAGGCCCTCCAGACCACCCCCACGAAACTCACGGCCGGCACCCCTGAGCRCTCAGGCCCGGAGCTACCTGACCAGAGTCCCTGGGCCGCCACCCGCCGCCAGGGTCTCCGCCTGAGAGACGCATAGAGTTAGTGTGGGGGTGTCTGGAGAGCTAGGCCATCCTGGCGCAGGTCCTGGCAGCGGTTGGCGTCTTACTCCCAGAGCGTTTCCATGAGCCTCCGGGGACGGAGGCCCAAATGTCATTTTGTAGAGGCCCAATCGGAGGCCCAGGCAAAATAAAGGGCACAGCAGGGATCCTTGCTAGCCCGACTTGGAGGTGAAATTCTGCCGGGGCTGAGTGATTCCCAATACCAACACTTTCCCAACCTGGAGGTGCGCTGTGGGAACCGGCCGACCAAGGCTTCCACAGGGCGAAGCTTCATCAACCGCGCGAGTCCGGCTTTGGATGCCCCATCCGAAGCCCGGCGAGTGCCTTGGCCCTGGCACCTGCGGACGGCAGTCCTCAACTCCACTTACACTGAACTGGAGGGATTATCAAAATGCGGCCAGGACTCCCTCCTTTCCCRTCGCGGTGGAGCTAGCGGGAGGACCTACGTGAATGGGCGCCAAAGTTCACCTTTTCCAGGATTGTCCCCCTGAGGCTCATCCCGACCCAGCGCTGCCAGACAGACCAGCAGTGCCCACGCCAGTTAGAGGCTATTCTGGTTGAACCCAAACTCCAGGCAAGCCTAAAAGTCTCTTTATTTCTGAAAGCCGGGGAGGTGACTTCCCTGGGCAGGCGTGGAAATAAGGCACGAATGAACTCAGTCCCTACAAGCGTCTTAAGAGAAGGGACCACCTTACCAGGGACCATACAATTATTCCCTTTCCCTAACCGGGGCTCCCTAGAGGAGGGTCCTAAGGTAGAGAGAAGGTGACCTGGGGGTGACTGTGTCTGGCTGGGTCAGTTGAGAAGTCTGGAGGCTTGCTTCTGTCTAGGTGAACAAGCACAATTCTAATCCTGGGCGCCCTAGACCCCGCACCACTGTCCCCACGCCCCACCTGTGGCACAGTCCTCTGCCGGCCCTGCCCCTTCCCTCCCCGCCTCCCATCCCCCCATCCCCCCCACCCCCGCGCACTCCCAGGAATTGACAGATTTTCTTTTTTATTAAAAACAAAAGTCTCGGATACAGGGTGGTCTCCCCAAACAGGCTTAAGGTGGTCGCCATCTCGTGAGTCAGTTGTCGCCCTTTTAAAGTGCTGTTACATCGAGAAGTTACAACTACAACATAAATAAATAAATAAATAAATAAAAATCCAAAGCGGGGGATGCAAAGGGGACTGGAAGTAGGTCCAGGAGAAGAAAGAAAAACAACTTAGAGTATAAATAAAAAGTGAATCTAATACTGAACCAAGAGACTCACAGTACATTTATATCCATTGCACATAGCCACTTAGTCATTAGGAACAAGAGAGTGGACGGGACTGGGAGCGCGGGGCCGGCGCCAGCGAAGTCGCTACATTGTATTCACAATTGGGGTCCGAGGCTGTACGTGGGCCGCGTGGGGGGTGGGAGGTGTCCTCCCTCTTCCCTCCTCCCACCACCCCCGTGGGTCCAGTTAACCCCTTGAGGTCCGATGCCCTGGAGTTCAACCGAGGGGCGAGGCGGTATTTACACTTGGAAACTGAGCCGGGGCCCTGGACTGGGACGCCCCGGGAAGGTCCGGACAAGGCCGGGCGCCCGGGAGGAGGACGGCGGACTGGCGGACGGGCGGCTGTATTTACATCGGTCGGGTCCGAATGGCTTGTTCCTCGCTCTGGGCCGCCACGGCAGCGGGTATTTACAAGAAGGAGCAGCATGGCTTGAGGGCGCGTGGGCGCGGCCGGGCCGGCCCTAGGGTAACAGTGGGGGCTTGAAGGAGCAGTTGCCAGTGCAGTGGCGGGGCGTCAGCATCTTGCAGGAGAAGTGGTGCAGGGCGTCGTGGGCTTCTAGGGAAGAGAGTCGTACCAGCCACGTTGGCCGCCGCCGCACTCGCCTCACCTGGCCTCTGCAGTGCACCGTCCCACTGCCCCCACCCGACCCACCCTTTGGGCTCAGGGGTTCTCAACCGACCAGATCAGAAAAGATATAGGAGAGAAGCTGGTGATTCAGAATCATCGCTCTGGTTAAATAGCCCCATTTTACAGAAAAGGAAACTGAGGCGCAGAGAAAGAGGGATGACTTGCCCAAGGCCAGAGTTGGACCACAAGGCAGATTTTCTGATACTAAAGCTCAAAGGACACTTTCCCCCATTACAATCAATTCCCACTCCTCTTCTCAGTTTCTGATTCATGTAGACCTTAGCCTCCCCCCTCATTAGCCTCGCCATCCATCCACCCATCCACCCATCCAYCCATCCACCCATCCATCCATCCCATAGTACAGCCAGCCCCCTGGTAGCGGAGCTATCTTTGTTTGGGGGTTTCGCACCTTTTAATTTCTGCTGTATGGCGTAGCGCGCCTTCCGCTCCTGGTCAAGTTCGTTACATAGAGTATCTGGAAGACATGGAGGATTGGTGAGGAAACGCAGACCACCTTCCGGCGGTCGGGGTCAGAGTCAGGGCTACATCCCTCCCCTTGGCGCGGCCCCTCGAAGAAACAATTCTGGGGATGGGGGGGAGGGGCACCAACACTCCAAACTGCAAACTGACAGAGGGAGGAAATGGCCTGGGATGGCGCTTAAAGGCAGACGGATCTAACCAAAATTAAAGCAAACTTAGGCATTACTTCCCAGGTAATTTTACGCCTCGATTTTTAATTTAGAAACCATGGAAATTGCCGCGATAAGAAGTTCAATCACTCCATGTAATGATGCCTGCAAGCCGTTTGCTGGGCTCGCTTGCCATTCTGAGGCTAATCAGAGTATACAAAGGATATTAAATAAAAAAAATAATTGTTAAATTACCTTCAATTTAAATCCAAATGACTGAGCCAACATTGCGGCTCCTGCCAGACGAGAGGCAGTTACGGCCCGTGCACGCGCTCACCTGACTCCCGTCTTACCTCTGACAATTTGCAGCTGTTGCACCATTTCTTCTCGATAAGCCAATTCCCTCTTCATTTGATCCTGAAAATTATCTGTGCAAATTGATTAAGTGAGAGCTGTTATGCACAGCCTTCCCCCTCAGCTCCACTTCCCCACTCCCTCCCATCTTCACCCCTACCCCCACCCCCACCCAGTCCTATGCCTAGCTGGAAACAGAGGGAAACAGAGTTCTTCCCCTCTAGCCACCTGCCTATACCCCATTCCGAGAGCAGGATAGGTTGACAGTGTTGAGGTGAGTTGAGAAGGGATGGAAATACCTTTGAGACTCTGAAATTCTCGCTCCAGCTTCTTTCGGAGATCCATTTGCTCCAGGAGCAATTTTTGCAATTCTTCTGTGAATGGGAGAGTGGGAGGTAAGGGAGGGGAATGGAGAACTCAAGGGACCCATTAGGCATTGAGGTCTTGCTCTGGCTAATACTCCTAGAACCTTAGTTGGTATAGAGGCCTTCAGAACTCTAGCTTTCCTATTCCAGTCCAAAGGATTTGAGTGAAGACTCAGGGCTAAGTGGGTAGGATGCCCTGGAGAATCAAATTCAGGAGGGTGGAATCCATTTTGGATTCCTAGACCCTGGTTCCAGGAAATGACTGGGTTGTCATCTGCTTTAAGTTGTTCCTAACTCCCTAATCCTAGAGAATGACCCACAAAAACCTTATTTCCCACTTCAAATGACAGTTCTAATCCCTTCTTTCAATGCAAATCAGGGAGAATATGGTCAAAGCCTTGGACAGCTTTCCCAGAGAAATAGACATACTTAATAACAGTTATAATATAAGGAGATGCCCATAAGAACCCTCATATAAAGCACCAATGATTGTGAAGGTAATGACAGAATCTGTAACTAGGAAAAATGGAAGCTTGTTTTCCTTCCCCCACCAATTTCCAAGATCATTCATGGACTGTGGAAAACACTGTTTAGTGCCCTCAGAAGCCACTTCCAGACAAGTGGACGGGGAGGCTGCCCTAGCCATGGGGCCAATAGTATTTGAGCCCTCCACATGAAGAGGTTCCTCTGAAACATAGCAATGGAAGATGGACAGGCCAAGTGGGGTTTGAGACTCCCTTCCTCTATGCTTCAAGCCAACTTCTCCCCCTTGCAGGCAAAGCAACCCTGGGGGTCCCATTCTGCAAACAAGCTCCATCTTACAGAAATAGTTATACATTAATTCCAGGGAAAGTACTGTAACCTCTCACCTGTTCCTAAAATAAATGCCTCTTTGCAATCTTACTCTCAAAAAAGGAAGAAGAAGAAGAAGAAGCAACCTGTTTTTCCTTGGAGTTTGGGAGACCCACATTATCCTGTCTGATGTTCACACACATTGCGTTCTAAGAATCAGTGCTCATTTCTCTTTCTCACTGGGCTATTCAAGACCGACTGACTCAGGCCTTGGGAACCTAAATTTCTAATAACCTACAGGGGCTTGTTCATTCCCTACCCACATATACACATACACCTCTCTGCCAGGATGTGTTCAGAGGATTATCCTTTCTACTTAATGAAATAAAAACTCAACCTCTCTCCCCAATAACAAGGTCTTCCCACATACCCACTACAGCAACTAGCTCCTCTCTACAGGAGGGGCCCATCCCGGCAAGCACAGTGTACCATTTCACAGATTTCACCTCACCTCTGGCCAGGTTTTCAATATCTTTCTCCACCAGCTGAGTTCCTGTGACATCCAAGGTAAGCCCTTCTTCACCTGAGATACAGGGGGAGGTAAGAAGGATTTTGTCTCGGGAGAAGGCTTGAGAGGGGAGGGGTGAGTATCCCGGGAACTGTACCAAGTCACGGACCTACTCCAGACCCTTCTGCCTTTAGAGGAGGCAGTTACAAGCGGTCATTTTAGGGAGTAGGAGAGTGGGCCCCAGGGAGATGGGCTATCCTAGGGAAGGAAATGCTTTGACCTATTTCAGATGGGTGAGGTGATCTCTCCATTTCCTCTTAGTATGTCCACTACCCTTATCAGAAAAACCCCAAAGGGGGTAGCTCTGGAACCTGGCCTGCATCTCCCCTGCAACATTTAAATAGTAAGTGGCAGCCTCTTGCTCTTGATTGAAACCGCCTCAAAAGCCTGTGGAAACCTGTGCGACGTGGGTCCCACAGCCCGGGGGCGAGTGGGGCTCAAAGAATCTCAGTGCTCACCTCGGTCAGTATTTGTGGGACTTGGCTGGGAGATACTCCTTTGGTCTGAATAGGATTTCCTCGTTTCCAAATCATCGGCGGTCGAGTGATTGTCTTCCTTATCTGGTTCTTAAAGGCAATAAACCGAGTTTCAAGGAGAAGCAAAGAAACTGTGACCCCGATACTGCCAGCACTGCCGCGGTTGGGGCGCCCAAGCCCTAATTAAAAACGTGRTGGCCGCCTCTGGTTCCCGACTGTGAGCCCAGGCGCGCGCCCTGAGGCTTTGGGCAGGGTACTCCCTCCCCCGCACATGGTCTGCTAGTCTCTCGGCTTCACGCCACTCCCCAGCCCCTCGAAAAAGAGCGAGACGAGCAGCCGAGCCCACCAGGGACGGGCGACCTACATCGCACGCAGATACTGGGGCACCGCGAGCGCGCGTGGCCGCCGGGTCTGTCCGCGCGATTCCCGCGGAGATCGCAGCCCAGGCAGCGGCCTACCGCGTAGTGTGGTGCGTCAGGAAATTGTACTGGGCTTGGCTGCCTTCGCTTGCCCAGATTTCCAAGACCCCTCCTCTGCTAGCAACCTGGCCTGAGCGCAAGGGCAGGCTCCCCCGCCCCCCACAGTGGGCCGACGCTTCCGGGGTATCCAAGCGCGCAGCCAAGTTCGCTCATCCTTCGCCCAGACCTGGCCTGGCCACCGGGAACCCTGAAGACCAACACACTTACTGAATAAATGAGAGAACTTGAAGGAGATGCAGGCGTGATTTTTTTTTTTTTTTTTTAAGATTTTAACCCTCGTACGAGGTGTACTGGAGCATGTGTGTATGTGTGGTGGAGAAGGTAGGTTGGTACTGTTTTTTAAAGTAATCAGCCTGTGGGAGTTGTTAGGAGTTCTCAGCTTCCCTTTTCTTTCATTATTTTTCTTTCCTTCTCTCTTTCTTTCGCTTTTTCTGTGTCTCTCTTTCTGCCCTCGGCTTCCCTCGCTGGCCTCTTTGGGGCCTGCCCTCTATTCGCACCCCCTCCCCTATCACAGTGGCCAGAGGCCTTGGAAGGCGTTACCGTGGGCCTCGGGGGTACAGAGGTAGGAGGCAGTGGGCCCCAGCGCCGCCGCGGCGCTCTTCACGTGCTCATCCCTCTCCGGTGCGTACACCTGCTGCGGCCGAGAAATGACAAGCGATTAGGGGGGCTCCTGGCGGCCGCCGGAAACCGCCCAGTCCCGCCCCGMAGCCAACAGGAAACTCCTAGGAGGTAGGGGAGGGTGGCTTGCCCGCGGGACCTAAGGGCAGGGGTAGCGGGGACGCACGTGGCGCACCCTTGTGCCCTTGCGCCYTTGGAGTCTGTCACTGTTTTTAGATTCAGGTAATTATTGGCCCTCGCGAAAAAAAATTACGTGAAGCGGTTCCCAAGCCAAAGGCCATTCAAAGCCGCCCCGGTTCTCTGCGCTCGCCTCATTTCCCCCATTTCCCCTCCTGCCCAGGCCTGGGTCCTATCCTAGGCAAAAATGATGCTTTCGAATCCGGTTAATGATTCGTGTTTTAATGAACCGAACGGAAATGTATAGGTGTGCGCACCCACTTTCAGGAAGGCCAATGATTCCGGCCTAGCCACAACCTGTTCCTCCAGCCCCAGCCCTGCCAACCTTAGAACCCCCTTGCGCCCCGCACACGGTCCAGAGACAGTTTCCCAGCATCAAACCCTGTGAACGGTTCCTAATGAGGGAGTGTGAAGAGACTCGGTTGGGGTGACGGAAGATTCCTAGGACTCAGTACTGCTAGGATCCGAAATGGGGAGAGGACACCCTCTCCTCTCGCTACCCACTAGTTCTCCTTGGAGTATGAGAGCGTTTCTCTCTTGGTTTAAGTCCCTCTCTCTCCTGGTTCTTCCTCTAGAACCCTTTTATTTCTCTCTTTCTGGTGTCTGGCAATCTCTGCCAGTCCCCATCCTCACGCCTAACAACAAACACAAAGCACACGCACTCCCCAGGCTTGCCCCCGATCTTCCGAAACCTCACTCGRGCCCCAGGACCCCAGTTCCACAGCGAGCCCAAGTCTGAGCCTGCCGGGAGCAGCCGGGATTGCTGCGCAGAACAAAATTCGGGCCTCCCGTCCCCCACTTGGGGTGCTTTACTTGAGGGTGGTGGGGTAAAGGGGTAGGTGCTACCGGCTGAGCGGTCTCTGAGCTCACCTTGGCCGTCGTGGGGCCTCCCAGGGGCCCGCAAGACTCTCGAAGCTCGTAGCCGCCGCTTGGCGGGCTTCTCTCAGGTCTCCGCACCACATCATCCGCTGCCAGGTCACCAAATGCAGACCCGCCAGCTGGGGGAGGCCCGAGGCGGCGCCGGGGCCGAGGGCTACCGCCATCAGGAGAGTCTGTGGGGCCATCTGCGCCTGAGGAAGCAGCAGAGAGGGGCCCAGTGGGCTGGTCCCCGTCTGGGCCACCTCCCGCGCTGAGYGCACTAGGTTCGGTCTCGTCCTGGGCACCCTCATCCTCGGGAAAGCGGTTGGATTCCACGTCCACCTCCGGCTCGTCCGCGGTGTCCACGTCGGGCGAGGCGGAATGGTAGCTGGAGCTGCCCTCGCTCAGAAAATCTGGGCTCACGTAGCCGCCGCCTGTCCCCGCGCCTGGCCCTGGCCCACGAGCAGGCCCCGCGCTGTACACCTCTCGGGCGCTACCATACAGCTTGGCAATACTCTCGGTGTCCTTGACCACAGGTCGGAAGGCAGACACGTAAGAGCCCTTGCGTGCTGGCGGAGGCGGTGGAGGGGCCAGGGGGGGCAGGGGTGGTGGTAGTGCCTCATCAGCGCCGTCCTCGTCCAGGGGCCCGCGGGACAATGCACTTGGGCAGCGCTCCTCAGCTCCAAGGCCGCTGTCCTTGGCTGACTCAGCACCGTCCAGGGGCTCTGGGCCGCCGCCACCAGCAGCCGCCGCCGCTGCCGCCGCCGCCGCTGCTACAGCAGCTGCTACGGCCTTTGCTTGGCTCTGCGCGGCGGGGTAGGGCGGCACCGGGAGACTGCCTGCAGCTGGCCAGAACATGGGGAACGTCGGGTACACAGTGGCGGCGGCCGCCGCTGCAGCTACCGCCGCTGCATCCTTCGCTGCCCCAGAAGGTTGATGCCCCCAGAACATGGTGCCGCCGCCCGGGCCAGCCCCTGCTCCTGGGGGCAAGTGGCCGGTTCCCGGGCCACCTGCACCGGCACCAGTGCCCGCGCCGCCGCCGCTCCCAGTGCCAGGGCCGCCCTTGGGTTCACCTGCACCCAATACTGGGTCGTCCTTTTTGGGGCATAGGCCGAAGGCCGTGGGAAAACCATAAGGATGAGGGAAAAGTGGCGGGGGCAGCTTTTGCAAGAGGCCAAAGCCTTTGCTGGGCACCGGGATCACGGGGTAGCTACGTACGCCTGCGCTGCCACCAGGCCCTCCAGGGCCTGTCGGGCCGCTAGCTCCTCCCGCCAGGCCAAGTCCGCGCTGTGGGTGGGGAGGAGGTGGACCCGGAGGCCCGGCCGCCTCATCTTCACCACAGCGCAGGCTTTTGTGGGGCGGTGGGCCTGGGGCCATTTCGGCGCACCCTGGACCCCCGCCACCACCGCCACCAGTTCCACCCTTCCCTTGACCACCGGACCCGCCATTAGCGCCTCCTCCGCCACCTCCTTGCAGCGAGAAAGTCCGCTTGCGCGTGCCACCATTAAACATAGCCTTGACGTCCTCCCAAGCGTGGCTCAGTTCGTCTGTGGCCGACTTGTCACTGAGTTTGAGGTGACGACGCCACGAGTTGAAGTTGGCGGCGTCGGGCTGAGTATACTTGGCATCGGGTGTGCGGTGTGAGTGGAAGATGAACTTGTTAGGAGAGAAGTACATGCTGCAGTAGCCGCACTTGATGCACTTGGCACGCGAACTGTTGTAACGCGCAGGGATGAAGCTGCCACGCGAGCCCCAAGCACACTCATGCACCACATCAAAGGCGAAGTTCTCGGGCAGTTTGGGTGGTTTGTGCTCTCCCAGGAATGACTTGCACAGGCGTTCGGCCTCGCGCTTGGTGATCATGCCGCAGCGGCGTGAGGAGATGGGCATGGCCCCGGCCCGACGTAGAATCTCCAGCTGCACCGGCGTACACTGCACGCACGTGATACCCAGAGCCACTCGTCGGTTGTGGATCTCATTGTAGCTGTAGTTCTTGAGAAGAGTATTGGAGATTTGCGCCAGGCATAGGCGCTCCTGGCCGTCGATGACAAGAGACACGATAGGCACCCCATACAGMGACGTCTCTCCCACCTGGTTAGGTTTGAGGGCGCTGGAGCCCGAGTAAGGCTGCAGCTCCTGTTTGGAGTTTGGAGAGGAGCTGCCCTCGCGCCCCGGCCCCAGCTGAGTGGTGAGAGCCTCCATGCCGCCGCTCCTAAGAAATAGAGAAAGCAGAGAGCAGATGAGCCATTTTCAGCGCCTTCGCCTAGTCTCGGCCCGCCCAGCTGGGCGCGCCAAGTCGGGCGCACCGAAGGTATTTGGCAGTGGGGATTCAAGCTCAGTTGTTCCCTGGACGGGCGCCTTTTGTTATTCAGACCCTTGGTGGTGCCGGAACTAAAGCCTCTGGGGTTTGAGGTAGGAGAAGGGGTAATGAAGACCTCAGAAAGGCCCCAGCTGCAAGAAACCCCCCCCCCTTTTTTTTTGGATTGGGAAGGAAGTGGGACCCAGAGATGGAGAGTGACTTGCCCAAGGCCACACAGCAATGCCATTGCGAAGTCCAGACTTTCTGGCGCCCAGATCCACTCGCCTTCAGCCACCCTTGCAACCTGCCCTGCCGGCCCGGGTCCTGAAGCCCGGACTTGGGGACGGTGGCCCCTATGCTCAGTCGCGCATGCACGTGGGCGGGAGGGGGCAGTGCGAGGAGCAGGGAGGCGAAGGAGGGGCGGACACTGCCCATCTCCAGACTGCAGGAGGTGGGGTGGGGGAGAAGAAGGAGGAACCCAGGGCTGCTTGGGAGGGGGAGAGACAGAGGCGACCGCTGTTCGTGGTGCTGAACCCTACCCTCTTCAAAGCAGGCGCCCAGACCCAGGGCCGCCCCCACTGCACCTAGCTCGGCGCTGGCCGTTTTCCCGGGACAAAAGTGTGGGTTTCCACAAACCAGAGCTTCTCTTCTCACGCCTAGCACCCCGCGTTCATTGAGCAGAAAGATTCTGGCTGGATCTGTAAATGGTTTTCTTTTCGGCCGTCAGTGGGTCCAGAATTGTGCAGTTCCTAACAACTATTTCCTGCGTTTATAACTGTGCTCCAGACCAAAGCTAGTTTCCATCTGGGTCAGTGCATGGGACATAGAGGTTCTCAAAGAAGTTATTCAGAAGCCACTTTGGCTTCACTTCCAATCTCCCACTTTCTGAGTTTTCCTCCTTCAGATGTGTCTTTCCCTTTCAGGCCACATCCAGGCTCCAGGAGGCCCTGGGCTGCTTCTTGTGCAGGCGACCCTTCCCTGAGTATCCTTCAAGTCCCGCTGTCCTGGCTCATATAGGCTAAAAGGAATCCTGGTGGGTTTTGAAGCCACAGCAAAGCTCCAGGCACTAAAGGTGCTGCTGGTCCCTCACTTTTCTCTCTGGCTGAGGCAGTAGGTGCCACCTCACCTGCAGACTACAGCAGCCGGGAAAACTGGAAATTGATGTTTAGGGCCTTCTAGGTCGCCCTGCCCAACCACATGTCCTCAGACACACAAGGGTCCAACCTGACCCAGGCTGCAGGCACTCCTGTGGCCGGGCAGCCTAAACCGGAGGGCTCCTCCCCTAAACTGGGCCTGGAAAGGAAAATTCATTTTCAGAGGGGCCACTTCAGCAGGACAAGTGGCTTGAGTTCAAAAGCCYTCAGTGAAGAGACTGAAATATTCAGTCTTTCTCATTCCCCTATTTGCTTAGGTGCACCCCATTTGTTGATCTTATCTGTCCCTGAACTGTCGGTCTCTGTCAGCTCGCTCCTGTTTCTCCCATCTGTCTTGTACCTTCTTCAAGTATCAAGCTATTTATCTATTATCTGTTTCATCTTTATCTCTTGTAATCAAACTGAAACAAGTTGACCCTCCCTTCGCATTGAAGTCTCTTGTAACATTTTAGGAGGCAGAAAACCACTATTCTAACTCCCTAGCTGAGGGGTCAACAAGACAAGCCGCGCGCCCCCAGGGAGGGCTCTCKGGCAGGCTGTGGAGGTGGCCAGGGGATCAGCGGCTCTGGGAAATGACTATGGCTTCTTGGTTCCCCAAAATCGGCAAGTGTGCGTGGCCCGCATACAGTGAAGAGAGCACCCTGAGCCATGCGCATCCTCCCCAATCTGAGGTCCTGGGTCCCCCCGGTATTTTTCCGAGTAAAAGAAGGGGGGCTCCTGGCCCTGGAGCCAGAAGAAGGGACCTAGGAAAGTAATAGTATTGGGGGGTCCAAAGCGAAAGGCCGTATGAAGGGCCGTATGCAGCGACAAGAAGCAGTGGCCAGGAGAGCTCCAGAACCCTCTCCGGCTCCTGAAGCTTCAGGGATGAGCTTGGGGAGGGTAAGGAGCCGGAAGGAGGACAGCGGTGGGAACCAGGCGGTAGAGTCGTTAGGTATAATAAAAACAACAGCCATAAGAGTCCAAACCAGAACTAAACGAAAAAAAAGCTGTGGCGGCAGGGCCTGGGGGCGACGGGTTACCGGTAGCGGGTACTCACCGTGCGGCGGCGGCTGGAGCCGGGCGAGCGGTGCGCGGAGGTGCGCGGCGGGCGGAGGGGCGGGAGGGAGTCCGGGATCCGCCGGGCTCTCCGGGTGACGGCGCGGCCCCTCCCCGCGCGCGCGCACAGCCTAGCTCCCCGGCTCCCCGCGCTCCCACCYGCGGCCCCTCCCGCTCTCAGCAGGCGCTGGGCGCCAGGGTTCTGGGCGCGGAGAAGTGTGCCCTGAGCCGCTGTCCCCGAGGCCGGGGACTGGCCCGTAGAAGAGGCGGAAGCCTAGAGCGCATGGCGTGGCGGCGGGCACCGCGCGGTCACAGCCGGAGTGGCGAGGCCAGCACTGGGCGGGCGCGCCTGACAGCTGCGAGCCAGGGCGCCACACCCACCGCCCGCGCATCACTCRCGCCCTCCCCGGGTCCACCCGCCCGCGGGCCAAGCGCTGCGCCCGCTGCCTCTTGGTAGCCCCAGGGCCTGCGCGCCCCAGGTAAGCGGCCTCACACCTGCGCCCCACGTCCCGCACCTGCGGCTCGCGCTAGCCAGAGAGGCCAAGTGGGAGGAAGGGCCTAGGACTCTCAAAGTTTGCCCCCCAAGAACAAAGTGGGGAGGGTCCAGTGATCCACGCCAAAGCGCCAGAAGCGGGCCCAGCCGGGCCGGTGATGGAGTTGAGAGCGACTCAAGAGAAAGGGGAGCAGGGAGGAGTACCTTACTTTCCCGCTGCAGAGCAGTGCAACCAAGAGTGGCCCTAGAGAGACCGTAGGGTTGCCAGTGGCTGGGATCGTGACTAGGGTACCGGGCGCAGGAGGGAGCAGACGGGGGAAGGGGCAGATCCGTCCCATACCCGTTTAGGCGAGAGGCATCCGGAGCGCTGTAGTTTGAATGACTACATTCAAACATTGAATGACTCCCTTCACCATTACCTAACAGGCCCAGGGCAARAAGCCAAGTCATCTTTGGGAGATTTGGGGTCAACTACTCTTCAATGTTGCTATCTCAGTTTTCCAGTGTCTGTGCGTGTCCAACGCCTGACGCAACAGCCTCCCTCGGCTCGTTCTTTCTCCCTAAAGCTCCATTATCATTTCATCTCCCCTACCCCACCTCCCTGTCTGTCTCTCTCTCCCTCTACCCGTTTGGGTTTCCATCTTCTCTCTCAATCTCGGTCTCTACTTCCTTTGAGTTACTAGTGATCCCCTCTCCACCCCTCCTTGCCCGCATTCAGGCGCCCCCTTGGCCGCTCCCCCCCTTCCTGCCCCGGTGGCATTAAGTGTCCTTAATGGACACGTTAATTAAACTGTAATTAATCATACTGTCCAGCCCAAGTTTGAACAATTACCCTAATCAAACAGAAGTTAATAATGGCAGGGATGGCCTGGGGCGCGGCGGGCCGCCCGGGCAGGGGGCGCAGCGGCCACGGCGGCTACCGGCGGTGGCAGCAGCGGAGAGTGCAGCCTGTCCTTGGAACTCGGGCGGCGCCATAAATCTTCCGCGGGTAGCGGCGCAGGGTCGCCCCCGCCCCCTCGTTTTCCTTCCAGCTCTGGGTTGTGGGCCCTCTTTCTGCGTTCCAGATTCTCTGGAGTTTGTCTCCCCTTCTCCTTCGCTTTTCCCCCACCCCTACTTTTCTTGCTCCCTCCCCCACCCCCTTCTACTCTCCTTGCTTCGGGGACCCTAGGAAGGTCTCTGGAGGCTCATAAAGATCTTTCTGGCCTAGCCATCGGGGAGAGGAGCTGCAAGGCCTGGCCTGGGTGCTCACCTCCCCCCACCCCCAGACGTGTTCTTTGAGCCTCAAAACCCACTCCTAAGTTTGAGGGCTCTGCGGCCTCTTCAAGATCAGGTTCTTGCTTTCGCCTYCCTCAGTCTACCCCCCAGTTCACTGTTTTCTGTCCGGTTTGCCTTGTGGTCTGCTCAGCCCCTTTTTCTCTCTCTGGCCCCTCCATTCGCGCCTTTCCCTGGCACTGCCTCTGTCCCGCTCCAACTCTGTGGTTCTCTAAACCCACCATTCCCTCAGAGGACAACAGGAACCTATTTTCCGCCCCAGTCCGAGAGCTATCCTCAGTCCTCATCCGCATTTCTCCCCTCCCTTGGCCCAGGTTCCCCCTTCTCGTAATTACAATCCCACTTGGTAATTATTCTTAGCCTTCTAATGATTTTTTTTTTAAAGGAACCTCAGAATTGGTAAGGTAGTGACAATGCCTGAACGCCCCTAGGGTGGTGGGGTGGGAGTAGAGAGGATGGGCCGGGTCCCCCAGAGGAGGGCCTGCCTATTCTGCCTCTATTGTATTGCAAGGGCCAACAACGCCTCTGGGGCTGGCCTCTCGGGGTTCCTGGCAGCCTGGACGAGCCTGCCCCCGCCCGACCTGTCCTACAAAGGATTGCACCCTAGGCTACCGCACCAGGGGGCGTGCAGTGTCACCTCTGCTCTTTATTCAGCACTAAAGTACGGACAGCTCCTCGCTTTGGGCCCAGAGGCTGCAGATCCGCTGAGGTATCTGGGCCTTGGTTTAAGCCAGAGAAAGATCGAAAGCACCTGGAGAGAGACTGAGGAAGCGCTGCTGCTTGGTGGTGGTCTCCCGGGAGCCCGTCCTGGGGTTCAGGGTTGGAGTTCTGCTCTGGACCARCGACCAGAAGGTTAATGTCAACGTGACTACATTTTCTGGTTTGCAAAACCGATTCTCACAACAGCTACGGGAATAGATTTTGATCATTTAGTTCCATTTTACAGGTAGGAAACTCTGGGCCAGGCAGTGGAAGCCAATCCACCCCACGTTCTTCAGTCACTACGACAGGTGGACTGCTCTAGACCCAAAGCGCGCCTGGCSTGCTGCAGAGAAGGGCCCAGCTTGGTGTCGGGAGTGTGCAGCGCTGTAAGTTTCATTATCGCCAAGGCCTCGCTGTTGCTCAGATTCAGGAGCCAGGGAGTGGCAGAGCTGGGACTTGAACCCAGACTCAGACGGCTACGTGTGGCACCCCTTTTCCACACTGAGGTTTCTGGATCCTGCGGCCCTGTCCAGAGCACCGGGAGCCCGTGGAAGACATGGCTTTTAGCCTCCCTGGTCCCCATTATTAGGG